GTCTCCCTGCAGGGAGGCCGTGTCACCCCCGTGTCACCCCCGTGTCACCCCCCGGGTCACCCCGGGTCACCCCCGCATCCCCTGGACCATGGTAGCCACTGCTGTCCCTCCATCCGTGTTTCCCTCAGCCTCCTTCTGTGTCCTGCTCTCCCCTCCAGCCTTTGGGTCATCTTTTCCTCGTTCCACTTCTCTCCCTCCCTGCTCAGGGATGAGCTGTTTGCTCACGTCAGAGAATTCCAGGCTCCCGGTTCCTCTGCTCAGATCCAGCTCCTTGGGCTCTGTAAGGCAATGTGGGGATGGGATAGACTTAAAATCATGGAATCCCAGACTGGCTTGGTTGGAAGGGGCCTAAAAGCTCATCCAGTTCCATGGCAGAGACACCTCCCACTATCCCAGGTTGCTCCAAGCCCCATCCAACCTGGCCTTGGGCACTTCCAGGGGCAGCCACAGCTTCTCGGGGCAACACTTGTTCCAAAATACCTTATTTCCAACTGCACTCTGCAGTCTGGGCCAGGGGACAGTCTCTCCTTGTTTCACCTGGCAAATTTGGCCTTAACCACGAGTTGCAATGGCCTTTAATCCATCCTGCCTGGAGCTGATCCCTGGAGCTGATCCCTTCCTTCCCCTGGGGGCAGGAGGTGCCTGTGCCTGCTGTCCTGTCTCTGCAGAGGAGCCTTTGAGCTGATGTGGCTCAATCCCTCTCCTGTAAAAGCTGCTGCCCTGCAGCCCCTCCCCAGCAGGATTGTTGTGTTCAGTCCATCTGATCCCACAAGCTTCAACCCACCAGAGTCCAGCAGAAACACCCCGGGATGGAGCAGGAACTGGTGGTTGGACAAACTTCTGCCAATCGCTCCCGGCACGGTGCTGGAACGTGCTGTAAAAGCTCCCTCTGCCTCCCTCCTCTGGTATCTCAGCATTTCTTTCCCATTCCTGGTGCTTTGCTGATTGATAACCTCAGCACTGACCCAGAGTGATGCCCATTGTCCCATTATCCCACTATCCCATTATCCCATAGCCAATCTCCCATAGCCATTATTGCATGCCTGTTATCCCATGCCCGTTATTCCATAGCCATTGTCCCACACCCATTATCCCACAGCCATTATTCCATGTCCTTTATACCATACCAAATATCCCACACCCATTATCCCACACCTATTATCCCATACCCTTTATTCCATGCCCAATAGCCCATGTCCTTTATCCCACACCCATTATCCCACACCCATTATTCCATTCCAAATATCCCACACCCGTTATCCCATAGTCCAAATATCCCACACCCGTTATCCCATAGTCCAAATATCCCATGCCCTTTATCCCATAGCCATTATTCCATTCCAAATATCCCACACCCGTTATCCCATAGCCATTATTCCATTCCAAATATCCCACAACCGTTATCCCATAGCCATTATTCCATTCCAAATATCCCATGCCCTTTATCCCATAGCCATTATTCCATGTCCATTATCCCACAGCCATTATTCTATACCCAATATCCCACACCCATTATCCCACACCTATTATCCCATACCCTTTATTCCATATCTAATATCCCATATCCATTATCCCACACCCATTATCCCACAGCCTTTATTCCATACCCAATATCCCACACCCGTTATCCCATAGCCATTATTCCATGTCCATTATCCCACAGCTATTATTCCATTCCAAATATCCCATGCCCTTTATCCCATAGCCATTATTCCATGCCCATTATCCCAGAGCCATTATTCCATACCCAATATCCCACACCCGTTATCCCATAGTCCAAATATCCCACACCCGTTATCCCATAGCCATTATTCCATTCCAAATATCCCACACCCGTTATCCCACAGCCATTATTCCATGCCCATTATCCCAGAGCCATTATTCCATACCCAATATCCCACACCCGTTATCCCATAGCCATTATTCCATGCCCATTATCCCAGAGCTAATCCAGCTTTGGTGAGGCTGTTCCTGCCAGGAAGGAAAAGCATCTTGAGGCTGTGGTGAGGGGGAGGATGGCTCATGGTTAATGCTCCCAGTATCCAACTGGGATCTTCCCACTCCTTCCCCCAGGAGCCGATTGCTCCTCTCCTTAGCAGGGAAGGTGCAGAGAGGAGCTGTGTCCCTGCGAGGGGCACGCTGACAGGAGGATCCTGCTGATTAATTGCCACTGATTCTTGGCATCTGTGCTCCTTCTGGGCAGGTTTTTGGAGATGCTTTTACACAACCTCTCAGGGATATTGGGAAATGAGGAATAAAAGGGGGGAAATGGTGAAGGTGGGAGAGGAAAGCCCTCAGTGATGTGAGACTGGCAGGGTTTCAGAAGGGTCACTCTGGATCCTAGGATAGAACATGATGCACTGGGAACTGTTTGGGTTTTATGGGGTTATTTTAAAGGTAATTGTGGCACATGAGATGTGTGTTTCGTTTTTTGATCAGTTAAAACGATCTCCTTCCCTCTCAGAGGGCTTGACAGATAATTAAATAGAGTGTTGTTAGGGGATCAGTGGCCTCATGGAATCAATCTGCCCCTCTCTCTGGCACTTGCTGCTTCTGATGACATTTCTGGGCAGTTGGTGACTGTTCCTCTGCTAGAGGTTTTGTCTCTAATTCCCAGAATCACATAAATGATGTCTTTAAGCTGTGCTGCTGGCAGGTGAGCGTGCACACTGCGGTGCCAGCCCTAAACCTCCCACCCCATGGTCCTCAAACACATCAGGGGCAAAGCCAGATCTTACTTGAGGCTGGAGCAAAACCCAGCAGCACTGAACACCAGGCAGCAAATCCCTGAGAGAGAGGAGATGCAGCCTGCACCGTCTGATTCTGCACAGAGCATTAAGGAGGTGGAATTTGTTATTTAGGGCTGGCTGGGTGAGGTTCAGTGTGCCCATCAGATAACCTGATTTCCCACAAAACTCACAGGATGAGTTCTGCTGTGCCTTTGGGGTTGCAGTGAGTGCACACAGAATGATTTGTGTGTCTGGGAGGAAGATGTTTCCCTTGTAGATATGATGTCCTTTGTGATGTCCCCCTGTGCTGGGCACTGCTGGGGACACCTCAAATCCTGTCTCCAGTTCTGGGCCTGTCAATTTGGGAAGGACCTTGAGGGGATGGAGCTGGGAAAGGGCTGGAGTTCCAGGAGAGGCTGAGGGAGCTGGGAAGGGGCTCAGCCTGGAGCAAAGGAGGCTCAGGGAGAATTTCTGGCTCTGCACAAGCCCCTGGCAGGAGGGGACAGCCCCAGGAAACAGGGACAGGAGGAGAGGGAACGGCCTCAGGCTGGGCCAGGGGAGGCTCAGAGGAGACAGCAGCAGGAATTTCCCCATGGAAAGGGAGCTCAGGGATTGGAAGTGCCCAGGAAGGTTCAGAGTCCCCATCCCTGGACGTGTCCAAGGAAGACCAAGGTGGCACTCAGAGCTCTGGGCTGGGGACAAGGTGGGGACCAGGCACAGGTTGGACTCGATGGTCTGGGAAGTCTTTTCCAACCTCAGTGATTCTGGAATTCTGTGATTAGAGCTCTGCTGAAAAGCTTCTCCTTTTGTCCCAGGGAGCTGGGATGATCTGTATTGTCTGTGTGGGCAGGTTCTGGCCCTCTCTCTTGCTGTGGTGGCTTTAAAAGCAGGGCTGGCAGCAAAATCAACATTGGAGGCTCTGTGCCCTGGAGCCTGGCACAGCCACAGTGCCCGTGTGAGAATGGTCCCCTGGAGCAGGCAGAGGGCTCAGAACCTGCTCCATCATCCCAGAGAGACCTGGGCAGGGTGGAGCTGGTGAACACCTCTGGCAGCCCAGCAGGGATGTGTTTGAGGACTGGGAAGGTGCAGGAGCAGGGGCTGGAGCTGGTGCTGTACAGGTGTCCCGATGGGGCTGCTGGTTTGGCAGTCCCTGTGCCAGCCCTGCAGGCACACTGTGACCTTGGGAGCGTGTGCCAGGTTTGCAGCCAAGTTTCTGTGTGTGATGGAGATGCTGAGCTGGGGTTTGAGCTGGGTTCTCCGTGCCTCTGGCAGGCAGGGACAGGGCTGCTGCCAGGTCACTATTACTGACAATTTCCCTCTTTACTGAGGTTTACTGCTGGTTTTAGTTCTTCCCAGCCACAAGCTTTGCTCAGCAGCTTCTCTGCTCAGTGGGGACAGGACTCCTTGCAGGAGCAGCTCATCAAAATGATGTATACATGGGAAAAAAACCCAAACAGCTCCTTTCTGAGAGCAGATCTGCAGTGCTGATGTTCCTGAGGGATCAGCACTTACAGCTGTCCCCAGGGAGAACTCCTCTATATTAATTGATGTTTCCTATGTTAGCTTCTCACAGTGGAAACTGGAGGGGCAGAGGAACAATTGCAAATCACCTCCTGTGGCCCCCAAGGTCATCTCTGTGCATGCTGGTTTAAGTGTGTGTATGTGTTTAGTAATTATTCCACTCATTAATTGACTGCTTGTGCTGGGGAAGGCAGCTGGTAACTCAATGGCTGAATTTCTGGGAGTGCTGTCAATGTTCCCTGAAGGCATCAGGAGCTTTTCCAATGGCAGAGGTTGGAGTTGTGGGCACAGAGCTGGGGCTGAGCGAAGGCTTTTCCCACCCTGGCTTTGTTTGCTGTCATTGAGAGGCTGACATCCATGCTCAGCCTGGAGGGGAGAAGGCTCCAGGGGGATCTTGGAGCACTTTCCAGTGCCTAAAGGGGCTCTGTGAGAGCTGGAGAGGACTTTGGACAAGGATCAGTGCTGCTCTCCTCCAGCACTGCTCCCTGTCCTGCTCTGCCTCCTCTCCAGAGCTACAGAAGCTGCTCAGCCCTGGGTTCAGCCCATCCTGGGCAGGGCTCTGCCCACCTCCCCTCCTCTCTTGGCTTCACTCTTCTCTTTCCCTGGCTGATGGGAAAGGTTTTCTCTGTTATCTCAGCAGCAGCTTTGCCTTAACTCTGTTGCAAAGAACAGAAAGAACAGAAAAATCCCGTCTTTCCCTACCAGCTCCGTCACTGAGCCGCTGGCTGCAGAGGAGCTGGAGATCTTTAAACCTCCAGAAGTGCAAAGCTGTATCTGCCTGAAGTCCAGGTGGCCCTGTGGGCATTAACCCCCTGTCCTTGCCTTGTCTTCCAGGTGCTGAAGGGCTGCAAGAAGCTGAACCTGTCGGTGCACTCGGTGGGGCGCATCCCCGGGGGTTATGTCACCAACCACATCTACACCTGGGTGGACCCCCAGGGCCGCAGCGTGTCCCCCCCCACGGGGCTGCCCCACCACCAGAACAGCTCCCTGCGCAGGGACAGCGAGAAGAGGAGCCACCTCCAGCTCCTGCAGGAGGGGGATGAGAAGAAGGTGAGCAAAAAGGGGTCAGACACAGCCCTGGGGGGCTCTGCCCGTGCAGGTCCCAGCCCTCTCTGTGTGATCTGTGTGATTCTCCATTGCCTGGCTCTCTGTTGGCATCCCTTGGGCTGTAGCTTTCCCCCTGCCTGCCCCCAGAGGTCCTGCAGGATGGGATGGGTTGGATTTGTTCCTGTTTGGCACAAGGAGGAGCTGGGCTGGAGGGGAGGAATTGTCCAGTCTGGTCTGGCAGGGAAGGTCCTGCCAGGAACCAAACCAGGAGTGGGGCTTAAAGCTTTTCCCAACAGGAGGTTGTTGGGTTGGACATTGAGAGACTGACATCCCTGTCCAGCCTGGAGACAGGAAAGCTCTGGGGAGACCTCAGAGCACCTGCCAAGGCCTAAGGGAGCTCCAGGAGAGCTGGAGAGGGGACAAGGCATGGAGGGACAGGACACAGGGAATGGCTCCCAGTGCCAGAGGACAGGGCTGGATGGGATATTGGGCAGGAATTGTTCCCTGGCAGGGTGGGCAGTGCCTGGCACAGGGTGCCCAGAGCAGCTGGGGCTGCCCCTGGATCCCTGGCAGTGCCCAAGGCTGGGCTGGACAGGGCTGGGATCACCCTGGGATGGTGGGAGGTGTCCCTGCCATGGCAGGGGTGGCACTGGATGAGCTTTAAGGTCTCCTCTAATCTGTGTCACCTGTGGGTGTGGAGGGCTGGATCTGAGTGCATTCCTGCCCTTCCTCCTGCAGCTCATCTCTTCCCTCAGGTGTTCCTCTGAGGCTTTCTTGGCAGTTCCCCTCTCTTGGCAGTTCTGTCTTAGTAAAAAAAAAATATAACTCCCCCCAACCCCTCAGCTCTTCTCTCCTACAAATGCTCTGAAATAAACCAGATTATTTTCCTTTTCCATTTGGGGAGAAGCAGCCTGGGCCAGGAGGGGCCTGAGTGAAAACCCTGGTGAGGCAAAAAGGAGCAGGGAAGGGAATGGCTCCTGCAGTGACACCAGGGGAGTGTGGCCAGTGCTGGGCCTGGGTGCCAGAAGGAAACCATGAGCACATGGAATTTCCAGCCCTGCTCCCTTGCTGTGAGCTGCCCTCCTTTAAACAGCCCTTGGTGTAAGGGAAGCCAGCACAGGCTGTTGGAGCTGCAATATTTGATCTCGGGGATTTGATGTCTCCTCTCCCTCACACTTGCCATGGCCAGCCAGGCCTGCAGAGGTGTCACTGCAGAGTCACAGTGCTCAGGTGCCGGAGGAGAGAGGGACAGATGGACAGGGAACCTCATCCTGTACAAGCAGGAGGTGGTGTTTCCTCATTGCCACCCACGGAATATCAAAGTGCTGTCCTAGGAGTCAGCACCGCCTTCCCAAAGACACAGAATTGCTTGGAGCCTTGGCTGTTTCCATCCTTTTGTCCTGATATTGCTCTGTCTGTGCCCAGAATGTCCTCAGCTCCTGGAAACGCTGTGGAAGGGTCTGTGAGCTTCCCATCTCAGCCAGAGGGAGAGAAAAATCTAATACAGCATGAGGCAGTTTGCTGATGAAATATTCATGTGGGCCACAAGGGAGAAGGGCCTATTCTTTTTATTTTAAGGAGAGGAGAAAAGCAGGCTGTGCTGGCTGGTGTCCCCCAGCCCCTGGCACCCGGTGTCACCTTGACAGAGCAGCAGCAGCTGTGGGCAGCTGTGGGGAGCTGTTCTGTGCACATCATCCCTTCGGTCCTCGCTCTGTGTGGACATGAAATGCTCACAGATCTGAGAGTCCCCTGCCCCTGTCCCAGCCTCGTGTGGTCCTGGCCACTTGCAGGGCCCTGGGGAGAAGTCCCAGCCCTGTGTGTGCTCCTGCTCATCCTGGTGTGAGCACCTTTGCCCAGGTGCTTCCAAAATCTGAGCTTGTGTTCTTCCATTTCTCGGTGCTGCTCCACACAGCCAGGCAGCCCTTTGGCTTCTTCAGACAATCCCAGACTGGTTTGGAGTGGAAGGGACCTTAAATCTCATCCAGTGCCATCCTCTGCCATGGCAGGGACACCTCCCACCATCCCAGGCTGCTCCAGCCCTGTCCAGCCTGGCCTTGGGCACTGCCAGGGATCCAGGGGCAGCCCCAGCTGCTCTGGGCACCCTGTGCCAGGCACTGCCCACCCTGCCAGGGAACAATTCCTGCCCAATATCCCATCCAGCTCTGCCCTCTGGTACTGGGAGCCATTCCCTGGCTCCTGGCCCTCCATGCCTTGTCCCCAGTCCCTCTCCAGCTCTCCTGGAGCCCCTTCAGGCTCTGCAAGGCCACCCTGAGCTCACCCCAAAGCTTCTCCAGGTGAACAATCCCAGCTCTGCCAGCCTTTCCTCCCAGCAGAGCTGCTCCATCCCTCTGATCCCCTGGAGCCTCCTCTGGATCTCTCCAGCAGAGGATCACACTTTGACCCCAGGACAGGGGGCTGGAGGCCCCTCTGTTAACCTGGGACAAATCCATGACAACTGCAGGAAATATTTGAAGCTCTCAGTGATGGAGATGGGATGGAGAGGGAGTGTTCAACCTTCTCCTGGCCCCACTCCTTGGTGCCACTCCAGCAGGGACACTGGTCACTGCTTTAAGTGCAGAAGGCTTGGAATGCACTTTGCAGTAGCCTTCACTCCTGATTTCCCATCTCTAAGAGCAGAAAAAAGGAAAATTACTGGCTGTTACCTGTCTGAAATGCTCAAGGCTGCCCAGACACCTCCGTATCCAGAGGTTCCTTGCTGTGCCAGCTGGTGGTGGAAGCAATTCCCCCAAGGCAGAGCTGCTGGCAGCGAGCAGAGCCTGCCCTGGCTGGTGTTGGACAGGGGGTGTTTGGTGTGACATTTTCTGCACACAGCCTGCAGGGCAGGGACGAGCTGAGTCGCTGTGGCCTGAATTACTGAGCAGCATGGAGGGCTGAAAACGTGTCCCAGAGCAGGGAAACCACCTGCCTCCAGATTTCTCCTTTTCTATTTGTATGTGTGGATTTATGGGTAGCTACAGATATATAATTAACTGCTGTTAAAATGGGGTTATTCTGTTCACAAAAATGCAAATAAATGCAACACATCCCTGGATAACTCAGCCCAGTCAGGCAGAACTGACAGGCACCGAAGCCTGTTTGATTCGTGGGTGGTTTTACATTCTGAAGGGAGAACTGGTTAATTTTTTTATCCCACTCTCTCCTATTTCTAATTGATCTGAATGTCCTGGAATGGATGTGCCAGAGCTTTTGAAGAGGCAGGGTTTGGGGAAGCACAGCAGAGCAGCCCCAGCCCTGCAGCAGAGGCTGGAGCGATGGGACCCAGCGAGCGAATCCGCTGCCGCAACACCTCCAGAGTCAAAGGGATGTTTCCAGCTCTCCCAAGGTTAAATTCAAGGTTGCTGGAGGCATCTGACATTCTTCAGGCAGTGGAAATATCCCTGTCTGGCTGCCTCTTCCTCCAGCTTGCCTGGAAGGATGGGTTTGTCACTGAGGTGATTATCCCGAGGCAGGAGGATTTGTTATCCCAAGGCTTGGAATGGGAACCCCCACTGTGTTCTGGTGTAAGTGATCCATCCAGGGATCTGTGGGATCATCCTGGTGGGATGGGGTGTGGAACAGGCTGCCTTTGGGCACTCTGGTTCAGCTCCAAAGGCAGCGTTCCTAGCCTGTGGCTTTATCCACATTTTCCTGCAGCCACAGGGACTCCTTCACTTCCAGCTGTGGAAGAATCCCCAGCGAAGGGATTTGGGGATTGGGATTCAGCAGCTGGCTTGGCTTTCCCCATCCCATTCCAGGCAGAATCCTGCCTGCCCCGAGCTGGGCTCAGAGGCTGTTGATCCGTGTTTCCCATGGCAGGTGCTGTATTTCCCAAATTTAGCATTTTCCTGTAGTTGGGATTGGTGAATCCAGTGGCTCATCAGAGCCCCGTGCCCACAGGTGGAGTCACCAGTGGTCAGGAAGTTTTGCAATAGGAAAGGATTGGTTTGCAATAGGAAAGGATTGGTTTGCAATAGGAAAGGATTGGTTTGCAATAGGAAAGGATTGGTTTGCAATAGTGCAAAGGGATTGGTTTGCAATAGTGCAAAGCTCTGGGAAGTGTTGCTGGAGCCAGGTGAAAGCCCCCAGCCCCATCCCAGGATGTCACTGCCTGCTGGAAAGCTGGGACCTGCTTCCCATGCTCACCTTCTGCTTCAGAGCACTTGGATTTTTATCGTCTGTCCAGGCTTAGAGTCCTCTGGATTTGTCACAGCAGCAGCAAGAGCCATTTGTGCTGTGAATTGTCATTGATGGAGCTCTGGATTGACAGCTTATTTCATTAAAAGCACTTTGGAAACCCTCAGACAGTGCAAACTCGGAGGTGCTGCTGTGCTGGGAGGAAGATGAAGTGTGCAGAGCACTCTGCTAGTGCTGGGCTGCGAGTTCTCTGAGAAGCACCATTCCATCAGCTGAATTGGTACCTTAATGTGCTTATTGCCAGGGGAGCTGCTTACTCCTGCAAGCTTTTGGTGCAGCAGAAGAAAGAAAACATGATAAAGAGAGTGTGAACATCTCCTCAGCTTCAGGCAGTTCTGGAGACAAAAGTAGCAGTAATTATTATTTTAAAAAACCATAAAATATCTGTGCTAATATTGCGTGGCTTGAATGTTTGAAGCACTGCTGGTGACTACTTGAGCATGAAGGATAAGAGATGCAGGAGAGGGAAGGAAGGATTTCTTGCTATTAGTTTGTAATGACATTTGCAGTGTGAGTGATCCAGCTCCCCACATCTCTCACTGTTTGCTTGCTCTGACCTTGCTGGGCTTTGATTTTGTTTACAGCTTTTAAGGCTCTCCAGGCTCGTGGGGGGCTGGTTTAGTTCCCTGTGGGACTGGAATATGGGATGTGAGCCCTTGGTGCACCATGGAATGATTTGGGTTGGAAAGGACCTTCCAACCCCATCTAATCCAACCCCCTGCAGTGAGTAAGGGCATCTTCAGCTTCACCACACCCAGCCTGGCCTTTGATGTTTCCAGGAGTCATCCTCCTGCCTCGGGCATCCTGTAGCTCTGTCCCAGCAGCCTTACCCAAAAATGCCCTTTGTGTCACACCCCAGCCCACCCTGAGGGGCAGCAGTTCCACCTCAGTTATTTTAGGCACTTCTAAGTAGAGGAAGCACCCAAAAGTGGCACTGGGTGTGTGAGCCCCATGGGGAGGCAGTGTGGGCTCAACAGGAGCTGGACTGAGGCTGGGGATGGGCAGAGGGTTTGGTTTGGGCACTGGCCCTGTGCCCTGTGTCACCTCCCAGCCCTGGGAGCTGCTCCCTGTCCCCAGTGCTGGGTGTTGGGTGGCCTTGGGGAGCTGCCCTGGGCAGGGGGTGACACTGGGACAGCTCTGATGGCCCTGGCACCCCCCAGCTTCTGCCAGCACCCCGGGAATGGCTGTGAGCCAGCTCTGCCTCCCCACACTGGCTGTGTGCAGGATGTCTAGACACAAACTGTGGGGTTTCTGTGGGAGGCAGGAGGAGGATGAGCCCTGCCAGCCTCCCGAGGCGCTGTTTGTGCCGTGTGGCAGCAGTAATGGCCTGGAAATAGCTGCCAGCATGGCTGAAACCTCCTCAGCCACACAGCTGCGTGCTGAGCCCTTCTGGGGCAGCCTAATTCCTGTCTGAAAGGCCTTTCTCTAATGGCAAAATTGAATCTGTCAACAGGTAATTCCATAAACCCAGGCAGAAGAAATCCTGTGCAGGAATCGGCTCGGAGCAAGAGCTGATGATGGCATTCTTTTCTCCTTTATTTCCTGCTGCAGGAGATGGCAGATGTTTCAGTGTTGAAACAGAAATTAAAACTGTGACCTTGGACTTCCAAATGTTTCTGTGTGATGCACGCACGAGTGGCCTGGGGCTGGGAATGGCACAGGGAAGGAGGTGGGGACTGGGCAGTGATGGTGCTGTGGGAATGCCTGGCAAGGTGTGGGGGTGACCTTGCCTGGATGTTACTGAGCCCCCAGGACATGATGGGGCTCCAGGAGAGCTGGACAGGGAGTGGGGACAAGGGATGGAGGGACAGGACACAGGGAACAGCTTTAAGCTGAATGATGATAGAATTAGATGGGATATTGGGCAGGAATTGTTCCCTGGCAGGGTGGGCAGTGCCTGGCACAGGGTGCCCAGAGCAGCTGGGGCTGCCCCTGGATCCCTGGCAGTGCCCAAGGCCAGGCTGGACAGGGCTGGGAGCAGCCTGGGATGGTGGAAGATGGTGGAACTGGCTGAGCTTTAAGGTCCTTTCCAGCCCAAACCATTCTATTATCTGTGCTGTCCTCATTTTCCCCACAGAGCAGCTGCCCTTGTTTGCTGCCTGGTTTAGGATGGTGTCAGGACAGCCTGGATTTCGGAGCTCAGAGTGATCCCAGCTCTCCCTGAGGGGTGTTACAGCTTCTCACCCTGAGGGAGCTTCAGCCAGGGGGGAGAGTAGAAGCATAAAGTGGAAATGGAACCAAAATTCTGTGTTTGGGCCAAGCCTTGGCACTGGAGTGTTTATCACACGTGTGGCAGCATGAATGGAAGGGCACCAGCAGAAGGGCTTGGCCCAGGGAATGCTGTGTTGAGGGGCCCTGGATCAGCACTGGGAACCACTGGGAACACCAGCCTGGTCACTGGTGTAGCTCCCTCCTTGGACACAGCTGGGTTTGTGCTCCAGTGTCCCCCCAGGCTGGCAGTGACAGTGCTGATGGCAGGGCCACCCCTCCTGTCCCCACCCCTGTGCTGTTCCCATCACTGGAGGCAAACACCTTGGGAAGGAGAGTGCAAATCGTCCCCTGTGATCCCTAAGCCTGGAGTGGCTCAGCCTTTGCTTCATCCTGGCCATCAGCTCATCCCTCCATTGCTCCTCTGATGCCTCAGGATTTGGGCTTTTATATTTTCCATCTATTTGCAGTCCTGCAGTTCTCCAGTGTGTAACTCCAAACTCCACACACACTGGGAGCTGCTGCTCCCCCACTTTGGGCAGACACAGCAATTCCTCTCCAGGCCTGCAGCCAAGGACACCTCACTGCCTCAGGCCCCAGAGATGGAAACAAAAGGGAGTTGGGGGCAGCAAACTTGGGGGAAATGACTTCATTCCCTGCAGCTGGAATTGGGGGATGAACCCCAATGTGCAAATGGACCAAACTTATAAAAGTGTGAAACCTGTGAGTTGTGGCCCATTTTTGGGCCCTGGGGGGCTTTGACTGCCCAAAATGTCCCTGAAGGCCCCTCAATAAATAGAACTGCTTTTTATTTATTTTCATTCATTAATTAAATTTTATTTATTTATTTCTGGCCTCTGTTTTTAGGTAACCCCATAAAGGCATCACCTTCCCTCCCCAGCCTGACCCCACTGAGCCCTGTGCCTGCCAGAACTCCCTCCCTTCCCCAGGCATTCCCGAAATCCCTGCTGTGTCCATGAGCTGGCTGCTCCCTGCCTGCTCCCTGCCCTGTGCCACGCTGTTCCCGGCAGCTCCTGCTGCTGCCTTCATTCAGGGAGCTATTAGCTGATTAAGAGATGCAATTAAACCCTCAGCAACCCAACTTTCTGGGCTGCCAGCAGCCGTGGGTTTTCCAGGAGCGCTGAGGTTTCTCTGCATGGCTCAGTGTGGAATCCTGGAGGGTTTTTTATTGGGTTTTTTTTCCTGTATCCGTGGCTTTCCTGCCTCTGGAAGCGCAGTTTGCCCTGTGCAGGGGTGAACAGAGCAGCTCACGTGGCAGCTCCTCAGCAGCAGAGGGACAGGGGGTATCTCTTACTCCATCTGATGCTCTCCCCATGAGGGGGGAGCAGCTTCTCAGCTTACCAGGATAGTGTTTAAAGGGAAATGGAAATGTCTGCAGGCAGAGCTGCCCCTCCTGCTGCTAACCCCAGCACGTAAAAATGTCATCTGGGGACCTCCAGAGGGAATTTTGTCATTCCCAGTCTATTCTGATGTGATCTGGGATTCCAGGCACCTCGCTGCATTTCTCCTACTTGTATTGTTCCCAATCTGGGGAATTTTCTGCGAGGAGCAGCCATGGTGAGGTGAAAAACAGCAGATTCCATCAGGCAGACTGGGAGGTAACAGCACTGCAGAAAAGCTGAATATTTTTCCTGATTCTCAAAACCACTCAGCAAAGTGTTCTGTGCTCCAGAGTGAGATCTCCCTGTGAGGAGAAAACCAAACTTCCCTTTGCTGCTCCTTTGGGTGGGTCCAGTGCCCAGCTCGTCTCTCCAGCCTGGAGCATGAATGTCTCTGTAATTCCTTTATAATCCTTCAATGCTAAAATTGTTTCCAGCACTTTCTGCCCTTTATAGCAGGGAAAGGAAGCCCAGGGAACATCAGGTTTTTCAGAGGAGGATGCTGGTGCAGGTAGTTGATGTTTTACAGGTTTTTTTTTGCATCCATTTCTCTAAATCAAAAATGTGGAGCCTTAGGTGGATTTGTGTCCTGCTGTTGATTTCTGTGTTTCCATCACCAAGATAGAAAATGGGTTTTCAGTACCAGCCACTCTAAAACTGGCCTGAATTCCCTCTGTGATGCTGTGTCCTCTAGAAAGATGGATTAATTACCGACTTGAAGCTGAGAATTATTTTTCCATCCAAGTAAATGTGGAAGATTTTGGTTTGACTGCAGCGAAGGGGTTTCAATATAAATGCCCTTCACAAACAGCTTGTTTCTGGTTGTTTCTATCAGTGTGAAACACATTTTGGCTTTTCTCATTTGTTTTTATTCCTGCTGTCTGCTTTTCTCCAGAAGTGACTCAAAAACCTGGGAGCAAAGCAACGAAATAACCCTGGAGTTATTCATTTAGAAAGTGTCATGCAGCGAGTGAACAAAGGCCATTTTAAATGGAGAGTCCTCGAGGGAGCTGAGCATTGCTCATGCACTCCAGATTCCCACCTGAACATCCAAACATTGGCAGGCCCTGTGAGGAGGAGAGGGTGGGTGAAGGCAGGTGGGAGCTGGCTCTGCAAATCTGAGTTTGGTGGGGAGAACATCTGTCCAGCTGCTGCCTGGCAGGGTGTGGGAAATATGGAATGCTTCCCACATGGAGAGGGAATTTGTGGGAATGTTTCCTTCTATGGGAAGGTTTTTGTGGCTTTGTTAATTGGAGGTAATCCCAGGTGGCTGGGAGAGGAGCCCCCTGTGGGTTTGTGCTGTGGGGTGGCCCTGCACAGGGGGAGAGCTGGAGCTGGGCTCATTCCCAGTCTGGGTGGAGAAGGATCCTGGCTCTGTTTGCACAGGCAGCAATGGCAGAGGGGGAATTGACAGCCAGTGCTGGCTGGCACCACCCCACTGCTGCTCTTGGGGCTTTGGGGGTCGCTCTCAGCTCAGCCTCTACCCCAGGGATGCACCTGAAAAAGGAGAGTGGGAAACTGCTGGGGATCAGTGTGGCTGAAAATCCACCCAAATGTGCTGCCCCTCGTGTGGCTGAACCTCTCTGAAGCTCTCTGAAGCTTCCAGAGCTTTTTCTCCTGGTGCTCCCACTGCCTCCTCAATCCCACAGGAGCTGCTGTCCAGCCCAGGCTCTGTGGCTGTGTCCCACCTCTGTTTTGGACACCACATAAACGTCTCCTCCTACTCCCCTGCAGGTGAATCTGGTCCTGAACGAGGGGAAATCCCTGGGCCTCATGATCCGAGGAGGGGCAGAATATTCCCTGGGCATCTACATCACGGGTGTGGACAAGGGCTCCGAGGCAGAGAGCACTGGCTTGAAGGTGAGAGTGATCCCAGAGAACAAAACACAATTTTAAGGTAATATCAGTGTAGGAGGTGATGTAAAGGTTGGTCTTTATTGGAGACATCCAGGAACAAATGTGGAAAAAATGTCCAAAAAAATCCCCCCCGTTTTGGGGGTGAACACAGTTTTATAAGTTTAGCAAATCAGCATAATTGACAATTAGCAGCACGAGTGGTGATGCAATTCCCCCCTTGTTCAAGCCTCTTCTAAATCCTCCCCTCTCAGAGGAAACTGAACTTTGTTGGTGAAAAATGTCTCTCAAAGAGCTGTTTTTTGGCCTTGGTTCCCAAGGAGAGCCAAGATGGGATTGGGGCTTTGGAATGTGTTTTGGCTTTGTGCCTATGGAAAAGCCACAGAGCTCCAAATAAATGTGTAAAGAATAGAGAGAATATAGAAAAGAAGAAAAAAAAAAAAAAAAAAAGACAAAAATCAGGATGTTCCCTTCTCTGAACCTGCTGGGATCACAGCTGATCCTGGAAGGGACATTTGGGGTTAAAATTGTGTGTGTTCACCAGTGGAATAAGTAGGAAAGGGAGCAATGGGATGTCTCTGTGTGCCAGGCAGAAATGGGGCACGTTTGACACTCAGACTCCTCAGGCTGGATCATTTTACTTCAGTCACAGTTTCTTTTCTGGTGTGTTTTTCCCTCTAAATGACCCAATTCCCTGCAATGACATCCAATCACTGCTTCCTCCAGTGCATTCTCATGGGCTCTGAGGGTCAGTTCTTTCCCATTCCATATTTCCCAGTCCTGTTCTGTGTGTCAGCTGAGATCTGATGCATGTTAAACCCTGAAGTGTCCTCTCAGTGCCCTGGACTGGTGCTGAGGATGAGATCAAGACATTTGAGGAGAAATGGGATGGGCTCTGGTGTCTGCTGAGGCCTCACTCACCTCCCCAGGTGGATTCACCAGCACAGCCATGGCCCTGGCACAGGGAATTCTTGGATCCCCATCCCTGGAAGTGTCCAAGGCCAGGCTGGATGGAGCTGGGAGCAGCTTGGGACAGTGGAAGGTGTCCCTAAACACAGGAGTGGCACTGGATGGGCTTTAAGGTCCCTTTTAACCCAAACCAATCTGAAATTTTCCAGACATTTCATTTTTACCTCCTTGTATCACCAAATCACAAGTTTGGACTCTGATAACTAAAATTAATAATTAATACTTTGCACTTCCTTTAAATTTTGATCGAAGGGCAAATGAAAGTCAGGAAAACCCAAGGAAGTCTCTCTGAGGCCCAGAAACTTTTCCAAGCTCCAGAAACAAGAGTCCAAGCTCCTGAGATGAGGGTCCCAGAGGAGGTGCAGCCCTGCTGGTGCTGGTCCATGTGCTGCTGTTCTGCTCCCTCAGCAGGCAGAATTCCAGCAGAAACCAGGCTGGATCTCTGCAGTCAGTCAATAACTAAATATTCATAGTCTTGGCCTTGGCCTTCTTGATGTTTATTCATTCATGAAACTTCTGACAATGTGTTCTTCGGGCATGTTTTAAAATCTGCTGCCTCGGAGGAAGTTTGGAGAGTGAGAAAGTGGGGGTTAGCAGAGGGCTGCAGAGGAGGGAGGTGAGTCAGCCTTGTTTGCTTTCAGCTCCTGTCCTTCCTGCCTCCTTGGTGACGTTCCCAGCGGTGCCCGGCACGAGCTGAGCTCCTGATGCTGTTCCTGCCTCTGCTGGCCCTGATTTCTTCCTCGCTCATTTTTTCTGCTGCTGTCTTTTGTCAGGATTGGGGTTCTTTCTCCTCCTTAAGCCATTTTTGTTTTCTCTCCTTGACCTTTAAATCAGGAATAGCCTATTCCAGGGAGCTTGCTTTGGGCAAACAACTCAATATTGAGTTCCCAGAACGAGGGCTGGGGTGAAAAGGGCTGCCACCATCCATATTTATCCAGATATGAGAGGAGAGGGAAAGGGAGACTGTAAATAGGAAGAGCAGAATGATTTTACGTCAACAGTGGCTGTCATAGAACAAAGAGTAATTTAAGATCTCCAAGATCATCGTGTCCAACCATTCCTCCAGCACTGCCAAGGCTGCTGTCCCCAAGTGCCACATCCACGTGGATTTTAAATCCTTTCAGAGGTGGGGACACCACCACTGTCCTGGGCAGCCTGTGCTGGATGTTTTCCTTATTTTCCCAAAATCCCCCCTGAGCTGCCTGAGGCCGTTCCCTCTCCTCCTGTCCCTGTTCCCTGGGGCTGTCCCCTCCTGCCAGGGACTTGTGCAGGGCCAGAAATTCCCCCTGAGCCTCCTTTTCTCCAGGCTGAGCCCCTTCCCAGCTCCCTCAGCAATTCTCCATTCCCTTCCCAGCTCCCTCAGGAATTCTCCAGCCCCTTCCCAGCTCCCTCAGGAATTCTCCAGCCCCTTCCCAGCTCCATTCCCCTCCCTGGACACAATTTGGTGTCATCTCCAAACTCCCTGGGGGTGCCCTCGTGCCCCTCATCCCAAAGCCACCCCTTGAAAGCTGCACTGAGCTTTGAGGTGTGGACACAGACAGATACCCTGGAAAAGAGAAGATGGAGTAAAAGCCTTGTGGCTCTCTCAGAGTTTGGGAATGAGCTGCAAAGTGAGGAAGTCACTCAGGAGGTTCGTGGTTGTGTAACGCTTCTCCTGGTCCTTCCAGTGGTGTCACCTTGATGGGGACAGAAATCTCCTCTCCTGGGAAGCCACAGAAACATCCTCCCATCAGTGCCACCCCCAGAGAGCCCCTTCCCTCCCTGGGCTCTCGTGTCCCCTCTGTGTGTGTGTTCCTGCTCTCTGGGCTGCAGTGCCAATGGGGAAAGGACTCATTTTCAGTCAGCCACAGCCCCCTCATTCCCTGTCCTGCTCCCAGGTCTGTCCTGGACACTTCCCACAGGCTCTTGGACGTGGATCATGCCCTGAGCCCTTTTCCTCCTGGAGAAGCTGAGCACTTCCTCCTTTACTGCAAGCCTTCATTCGCTCAGTTCCAAACTTATCCCTACATTCTCCTGCCCGTATCTTTAATTTCTTAAGGGCTTTTGGTAATTATTTGTGCTGGAGAGAGGCTCCTTCTACTTTAGTGCTATCTCCAGTGTCATTTAGCCCCTCTGCTGGCACTTTAAACAGGGCTGATGCCAGTGCCAGCCCATTTGGCACCCCTTGGCCCTGATATTCCCAGCTCAGTTTGGTGTCTTTTAACCTTAACTCACATTTGAAATCTCTTGCCTGTTTTTCTGCCTGATTGAATTTCTCCCAGAGCCAATTCTGATTATTTTAAAGAGACTTTAGGTGCTCAGAACCCTTTTCTGAAGCCCATTAAGTTTCTCTTGACTGCAGCTCCCCTTGCCCAGTGTCTGCAGGAGGAGAAGGAGCCAGGGCTGTCATCGAGGTGTTATTTCCAAGCTCTCTTCTTGTCATGGTCTGTCACTTTCTGCGTGTCGTGTTCAGCCCCTGCATTTCAGGCTACGATTTTCCCTAAGAAATGAGAATAATTCACGTTTTCAGAGGTGTTCAAGCATTCAGCACATCCCGGGTATCCACCCACCATTAGCTGAGCACAACTGAAAAGTAGTTCCTGAAATATCCAGGGCAATAATTTTCCTGTGTTTTATTTTATTTTTTATTTTTTTTTATGTCTTTTTATTACTTCTTTTATTCTGTGCCAGTTTGGAGCTGTGAATACAGCAAATCATTTCTCAGGGTCAGCTTTTGTTTCAGTAGATGGGTATTTTGCATCTCTGCAGTGTTTTTGTTACTTTTCCCACTTGTCCTTGAATTTGGGGGGAAAAATATCATTATTATCTATGTTAATTAGCAAAAAATCCAGGGTCCCTCTGGTCCCCCTGACGTTATGAGAGCATGCCAGGTTCCTCTTGGTTCACCCTTAAAAAGGAGAAATTGAAGAAAGATTATTAAACCTGTGTAACTGTCCTGAACCAAAAAATCATGAAAATTTAAACCCTGGTATGGAAACCCATTAAAGATTCGTAACTGCAATAAAACTGCCTAATCAAATTTGGGTTTTTATTGTTTTGGTGCTCCTTGTTTGAGCAGCAAAATCCACTCCATGGGGCTGCCTGATGGATCAGAAAGACCTGGGAGATGATATTTGTGCACCTGAGGTGCTTCTCTTGCCCTTCAGGCCCTGGCACAATTCCCCTCCCCTGTTTCATTGGTAATCAGCAATTTTCTGACCGTGGATTTAAAGCTGACAGAAACTGAAGGGAACCTGAGATATTTGTGGAGCCCCATGGTTGGGAGCGTGGTCATTTTGTGTCATTTGCCTCCCCCTGGGATCCTTCTGGCATATTTTAGGTCACTTCCAACACAAACTATTGAAATTTATGGTGAAGAATGAGGCAAATCCACTCAGGGTCCCTGGATGGAGCTGAACGTGGAGCTGAGCTGTGCTGCACTCAATGATCTTAAAGGCCTTTTCCAACCCAGATTCCATGATGCTCCTAGTCCTTTTTCCCCTCAGCACCACTCTGAGCCTCCTCCCTGAGCCTCCTCTGTCCTTTGGGCAGAGGGAAGGGCAATCAGGAGCCCTTCTCTGGCTTCTGCCAGCGTTCTTTTGTCCAGCTCCATCCAGCCCCCCCACACCACCTCCTCTCTAAATTTAACAGGCCTAATCTCTTCCATCTGTCCTTTCACAGGCACCTTCATCTGCCACTGATCATTTTTGTTTCGTGTCTCTGGACCTTTTCCCTCTCCAGGCAGAGAAGAAAATCCGTGCTGTGTTTCGGTGGAGCTGTGCTGAGGCCTGTGGTTAAGCAAAGATAGGAAAGGGCAGTTTCAAAAATGTGCTTTATCAAGAGCAGGGTGAGCTGTGATACAGGAGTGAGGAGGAGCACAGAGGAAGAGGAGCTGGGATGAAGGGTGAAACACCAGATTTAGATGTGTCTAAACAAGGCCAGGCTGTCAGGGAAGCTCCTGGTTCCAGCAAAGGCCTTGCTCACAGAATGAAATCTCTTAGGAGCAGCTGGGGAGGAAATAGGAGAGGAGAGCTGGGGTTCAGCTGTCCCAGATGCTGCAGGAGGCTGTGGTGAGACCCTGCATGCAGAGATCTGAGGTTTGGGGCTCCCACAGATGGTTCCCAGCCTCCCAGAGCAGCAGCAGGGATTGGGCCTTGATGTTCTTTGGGGTTGGTCTGGTCGATGGAGGAGACTGGGCAGATGAGTCTGAGCTGGGATCCTGAGCAGGCTCCACAGCCTGGTCCTCCCTGGCTGCCAGCGTGAGGGATTGTCTCCATCCAACAGCATTTTCCCTGCTCCCTGCCATTGCTGTGTCCCTCACCCGGAGCTGGGTCAGACTGGGAAAGCGTTAATCCCAAGGGGAAATCTCCAAGGACCCACCAGGCTCAGCCCATCCCGATTCCACAGGTGGGAGACCAGATCCTGGAGGTGAACGGCCGGAGCTTCCTGAGCATCCCCCACGACGAGGCCGTCAAGCTGCTCAAGTCCTCGCGTCACCTCATCATGACGGTGAAGGACATCGGGCGCCTGCCCCACGCCCGCACCACGGTGGACGAGACCCGCTGGATCACCAGCTCCCAGCTCGGGGAGACGCTGCTCAGCTCAGCGGGGTGCGTGCCTGGGTGGCTTTTTGGGGGGCTCACGGCCCCTGGGGGTGCTCACAGTGCCCTGGCAGGGTGGGCACCCCCAGCCTGCCCATGGAGCTCCCCGTTCCGGGCTCCTGTATCAGGGAAGAATCTCTGGCCTGTAAGGTGGAGGGGGTGTGGACAATGTCGTGCTGTCCCTTCCCCTTGTCCCCTGCCTTTGGGCTCTCCAGAGAGGAGAGGAGGTGACAAGTGACAAGTGACAGGTTCTCAGTGCTAACTGGTCTTCTCCCTCCTCGCAGGGCAGTGGGTGACCATGCTATGGACGTGGCAGCCAGGGTAAGACATTCCCGATGCCTTGGGAAAACATCACTGCTCTTGGGGTTTATTTTCCATGGGAAGGAAGGACCTGTTGCTCCTGGTTATAACAGGGATACTGGTTTGGGATTTTAATGGGCCTTTCTCCTTCCCATGCCATGTTGGCAGCTGCAGTGCCCCTCTCCAGGCACCTCTGGCACCTGCCTAAGTGGGCCAGGGGCAATGATCTCCCATGGACAAGGAGTGTGGGGAATCCCTCCACCCTGCAGATGTGACCATAATTCCTTCCTCGTGGTGGCTGTCCATGCCCTGAGAGCTGCAGCAGGCACAGGGACTCGCCCCGTGCTGTGCCTGCAGCTCTGTGCCAGCATCTTCTCCCCACACCTCTCTGCAAAGCTTTTAAATGGAAAATTTAAATGGAAATTAAGCAGGGAGGTTTCACACGTGGCTCTCACTGATAACAGCTTTGTGCTCTTTGCTGGCAAAACATGTTCCCCAGCCTCAACTCCTCTCTGTGTCTGGGATAGTTGGGGTCTTGTCTGGCTCCATTTCCCTGTGCCAGCTCTGTCTGGGAGGAAACACCAAGGACCTCCCCTAAGAAATCCCTCTCCAAGGGAAAAAGCCTTTCATCTGCAGCCAGGCTTGTCTCTCCCTGGGGCTCCTTTGGTTGCCAGTGGCTCTTTCTTCACGAAGGTCTGCTTCAAGCTGGCAGTGGGGGAAAATGAGCCTTTTCCACAGGATGGGGAGCTGGCCTGTCTCCTTTGGCCAGTTCCCCCAGTTCAGCCAGGGAGGAGCACAGCCTGGGATTAAATCACTGCCTGGCTGGGGGACAGGCTCTCCACTTGCTGAAAAGGGATGGGAAACTTGACTCATGCTGCATGAACTCAGAGAATCAGAGAATCACAGAATATCCTGAGCTGGAGGGACCCCCAGGATCACCCAGCCCAGCTCCCAGCCCTGCCCAGACCCCCAACATCCCAGCCTGGGCATCCCTGGAGCTCTGGCAGCCTCGGGGCCGTGCCCATTCCCTGGGGAGCCTGGGCAGTGCCAGCAGCCTCTGGGGGAAGAATCTTACCCTGATCTGCAGCCTGAGCCTGGCCTGGCCCAGCTCCAGCCGTTCCCTGGCTGCTGTCCCTGTCCCAGAGAGAAAAGCTCAGCTCCTCTGATCACAGCTTTGGAGTTACCCAAAGCGGTGACACTGAAAAGCTGATGAATTTCTGGGGGCACCTTCCTCCTGCCATCCCCAAAATCCTCCTTCCAGTGAGATTCCCAGCTCCCCCCTGCAGTGTGACACACAGGCAGAGAGGGCTGGTGGGCAGAGCCCGGGGCAGGGGCGCTCCTGGGTGCAGCCCAGCTGTCTCAGCAGGGCACTGCCAGCCCCAAGGCTGTCACTGTCCCCTGCAGCCCTCTCTGCTCTCTCTGCAGCCCGTGTTCTACCGGGGGCTGGCCGGCTCGCAGGTGACCCTGAGCACCATGGTGAACCAGACACGCGTCATGCTGGAGGAGCAGGCACGGCACCTGCTCAACGAGCAGGAACGGGCCACCATGGGCTACTACCTGGACGAGTACAAGGAGGGCAACATCTCCGTGGATGCTCTGGTCATGGCCCTCTTTGAGCTGCTCAACACACAGGCCAAGGTGAGGCTCTCACCAGGGCAGGGACAGCTTGTCGGGGCTGGTGGGGTGAGCAGAGTCAGTGTGGGCATTGTCACAGTGCTGATCACTCCAAGGTGATCTGCTCAGGGAAAGGGGCAGGGTGTGGGAGCCAAATCCACATTATCGTGGAACCAGCACAAAACTCCACCCTGTTTGGGTTGAAGGGACCTTAAAAATGATCTTGTTCCACTCCCTGCCATGGCAGGGACACCTTCCACTAGCCCAGGTTGCTCTAAGACCCATCCAGCCCGGCCTTGGGCACTGCCAGGGATCCAGAGGCAGCCACAGCTTCCCTGGGCACCCTGTGCCAGGGCCATTCTGGGGGATGCAGGCTGGTTTTTGGGGGCAGAGGAGCTTCTGGTAACATTTGGGACCAAACCTCCACCACCTGCCAGTACATCCCCTTGCCACTGCTGACCATGGTGGGAGGGAGGTCTCCATCTTCCCAGGAATGTGACTGTGCTCCAGCCTGTCTCTGCCTGTGTGTGCCCGGCCAGTTCTCGCTGCTCTCCGAGGTGAGGGGGGTGATCTCCCCACAAGACCTCGACCGCTTCGACAACCTGGTGCTGAAGAGGGAGATCGAGTCCATGAAGGCCCGGCAGCCCGCGGGGCCCAGCACCGACTCCTACTCCATGATGTCCTACAGCGACACCGTCTCGTCCTCCAGCAGCCACTTCACTGCCACCACCGTCAGCTCCGCCCGGGTAGGTCCCTCCTGCCTGCTCCCGTTCCTCTCAGCACCCCCTCCTGCCATCCCTGCAGCAAACTGATTCCCTGGAGTGCTGTAAACTCATTTCACCCCGCAGGGAGCCCTGTCCAGCTTCCCCCATGGATTCCCCCAAAGCTTTTATTTGTCTGTGGTGATTTGTGAGCTGCTGGGTGTCTCTGTGCCTCTGGCACTGAGGTGCTGCTGTCCCCTGTGTCCCTTCATCCCAGTGAGGGACTGAGCCTGCCCTGCTCCCAGAAATCCTCTGGAGCTGCAGAAATCCCAGCAATGTGCTGCCATGCCTGCTGCTGTTCAGCAGCTCTGAACTCACCTCCCAAAGGGTGCTGGCTGCCTGCTCCCCATCCCACTGGGAGCCACAGTGGCCAGGCAGCTGCATCCCATTCCCAGCCCGCTCTCCAGCACTCAGCAGCACTCCCACGTCTCTGCCAGGCCCCTGTCGCACGCACCGTCTAATTAAGTTACTGTAATCACCTCAGACTGTGCAGGCACACAGCCCCCAAATTAATTTCCTCGCCATAAAATGCCTTTCATCATAAATGCATTAGTAACCTTGGAAATTAAACCCTTCACGGAAAGGAGGAGGAACAATGGGCTCTGTGCTGGCTCCTCTGCGAGGAAAGCAGCCCACGGGGGTGGGATGGGGCTGGGGAGGGTCCACCCAGCACAGCCCATGGGGGAGAGGGGAGGGGGCTTTCCTGGGGCTCTGCCTGCCTGTGAGAGGCCTCAGAGAGTGTCAGAGCATCAGAGCTGTGCCTTTGTCCTGTTAAATGCACGAGTGCCTCAGGTCGGCAGGGATTTCAGTGAGATCCTTTCTGGATCCGCATGAACAAAGTGAGTTTTGCTCTGCTCTCCAAGGAGCTGCTGGGAAATTTTTTCTGAGGGCTGGCACGGGTCTGCCAGGATTGTGTGGCGAGCGTGGCACTCTGCTCTCATGCTGTGCCCCTGCCTGGGGCTGTGCCACGTGCTCCAGGTGTGCCTCCTGCTCCACAACACGTGCCAAACGTGGCTGCCTGGCCACGAGCGGTGGCCCAGCCCCACCTGGGACACCAGCCCTGGGCTCAGGGAGGGACACCAGGCACAGGGAAGGGAGTGGGCAGCACTGCTTTAAAAGTTTCCTTCAAGAGCTCGTGTCCCTTGGTGCTAGTGCAGGGCCTCCCTGGCTGTGGGGCACCTCTCCCATGGGTGTAAGAACCACGCAGAACCGTGTAAGAGCCTGGAGCCCTGCTCCAAGCCCTGCCTGATGATGGGAATGCTGCCTCTGGAGATGGTTGTGCCCATTCTCGCTGAAACAGCTGCCAAGCAAAGAGCACCAGCTGTTTGGATGGGTGCTTGGATAGCAGGAGATGTGGGGAGGGCTCCCAAACTCTTCCCAAACATCCCTGTGGCTGTTCCCTCCCCAGTCCTGGATGCAGCTGGATGTGGATTCTGTGGGGTGGGGCTGGGGGGGACGAGGGCAGCACCGAGCCGGGATTCTCTCTGCTCACCCATTTGTTCCACGCCTTCCCTGATGTTACATTTTCGTTTTTGTGCTTGTTTTCCTCTGCTCTCCCCCTGGCACATCCCAGGAGCGACTCCTGTGGCTCATAGACCTGATGGAGGTAGGGGCTGGGTCGGTGTGTGTGGGCAGGGGGAGGACGGGCTGGCCTGGGGGTGTCACAGCTCCTGCACCTCGTGTCACCCGTGTCTGCTGCTCCTCCCTGTCACTGCACAGAGCAGCTCCTGCCCCCAGCCCTTGGTGCTGCAAGGCTCAGCTTGAACCAGACCCACGGACACCTCGGGGATGGGGTTTTTGGAGGGAGCAGCAGAGCTGGAGGCTGGCAGACCCCACACTGCCCTCCCTGCCCTGCCTGCGGTGCTCAACACCAGCCAAAAATCACAGAGCACAGAATGGTTTGGGTTGAAGGGACCTTTGAAGCCCATCTAGTTCAACTGGCCTGCAGTGAGCAGGGACATCTTCAACCACACCAAGGTGCTCAGAGCCCTGTCCAACCCTGCCCTTGGATGTTTCCAGGGCTGCAGGGGCAGCCACAAAGTGCCTAGCAAAGCTGCTGCCATCCAGATGTGCCTGCTCCTCCCAGGGCTGCTTCCAGAGGTGCTGGCTTGTTCCCAGCTCCCTGGGATATCCCACGTGGAGGATTCCCACGAGCTGGGAATGCTCCTCTCACAGGATGAGGATAAGGACAGAGTGTGTGGAGGTCATTAGGCATGGCTAGAGCCCCAAAAATCTGGAGCAGAGGCTTGTGGCTCCTCCATCCCTGTGGCTGCATTCCAGAGTGGGAGATGGAAGGGAAGAGAGGAGGGAAGCTGGGCTTATTCCCGGTTGTTCAGAACTGAAACTCCACAGGACTCAGGCTGAGCTCAGCAAAGCTCTCGTTAGCAGTAACTGGAAATGAGGGGACTGATTTGGAGCTGAGAGGTTAATTAAAGCTTGGGCTGTGTTCCCCGGGGAGGTGGCAGTTTCTCCACCCTTTAATCTGCAAATGAAAACTGTCTTCATGTCTGAAAGATGCTCTGCAGTTCCATCACTCCTGCTGGGGACTCTTTTTAGGATAAGAAGGACAAACATTTCCCAGCTGCTCTGAGGAGGGGCTGGAAGGGCCTCACCTGGCCCCAGTTTCTGTGAGGAACTGGAAAATGGACAGGGTAGAGGAGCAGGAGGGAGCAGCCTCCTCAATAGAGACTCATTTTTCAGGGCAGTGACTTCCATGAGTCTTTCAAGGGAAATCCAGGAAGGCAGAGCCTTGAAATAGCCAATTCCTGAAAGCAAATGTGCTAAAAAGTCCTCGTGTTTTATGGCCCGGAGCAATCACTGTTTAATTTACCCCAAAGCAGCGAGCCTGGGGAAAGGCAAATCTCCTGCTCAGACACTGCAGCAGGCAGAGGTGTCCTGAGGAGGAGGAGCAGCATCAGTGTCCCTGGCTGGGGGGACAGAGCTGGCAGTGTCCCTGGCTGGGGGGACAGAGCTGGCAGTGTCCCTGGCTGGGGGGGACAGAGCTGGCAGTGTCCCTGGCTGGGGGGGACAGAGCTGGCGGTGTCCCTGGGGCTGGACAGGGCTTGGAGCAGCCTGGGACAGTGGGAGGTGTCCCTGCACATGGCAGGGGGTTGGAATTAGATTATCTTTAAAGTCCTTTCCAACCCAAATCCTTCAGTGATTCTCTTTAAAAAGCCATCTTCCCTTATGTTGGAATAATTGAGGGTGAAGCCACCCGTGCCAGAGGAAGGTTTCCCAAGCGAGGCCTTTACCTGTCACTCCCTGAACAAGCTGTTTCTTTGTGTTCTCATTCTCCAGGGCTCCTTCAGAAGCCACAGGGATAAAAGCACTTTGCATCAATGTTTTTGCTGCTCCTCTAATGGTCTTAATTGTCTCCCGTGTCTATTTTGGGACGAGAGCATCTCACAGGCACGGCAGCAGCCTCCAGCAGCTGGGGGAGATGCAGATGCACCAGCGTTTCAGCTAATCAGCTGTTTACCCTGCAATAAATAACAGGCACTTAAACACAAACTGTGCCCTGCCCCATGCAAACAGCGCTGCCAGCGAGACAGGAGCTGAGCTCAGCCTCCCAGAGCAGCAGATACTGAGGGAGGGAGGCTGAGGCTGGGTTTGCTGTGAGGATGGGTTTGCTGGGGATGCTCCCCCCAAGCAGAGATGCTGCACCCCCAGCTCCACTCTGACCCCCCCTGATTCAGCCAGGCTTGCTCTGCTTGGCTGCATCCGTGGCCTCTCCCTGGGCCCATCCCTACAGACAAATTCCCACAGGAAATCCCTTCTGGGTTTCTGGAGCTGTGATGTCCTCAAAACTGTGGTGTGGCATTTCCTGGTGACATTTTTGGACTCACAAAGCAGTGGCAGCGGCTTCCCTTTGCATCTGAGACCCACTGCTCTGGGTGGGAGGGGAGGAGAGTTTTAAATTTCTGTTGTCCTTCCTTCTCTCTTCCTTCTCTGCCCTCTCAGAACACGTCAGAGCTGGAGGGAGCTGGGGACTGCCACCAGAGCAGCATCAACACCCTGCCAGATGTGTCCCTGGTAAGGAGCTGGGTGGGAGCAGGAGGCAAACTGGGGGTGCTGGGCTGTGCCTCAACTTCAGCAGCTCTGCCATAGCGACCCCCCAGGGGAGGCACTGAACACAGTTGGTCTGATGGGGTCAGGAGAAGGGTTCTGGCTGGATAGGAGCAGCCTTGTGCAAACCAAAGCAAAGGTTGGGCGGGTTGTTGTGCGGCTGTGCTCGTTTGGGAGTCCTGTTCTCCTTTTCAGGAGGTCAGAAAGGTGTTTCTGTAACACTGTCTGGTCAGGAAGGTGTTTCTGTAACACTGCCAGGTCAGGAAGGTGTTTCTCTCCCAACCAGCTCCTTCAGCCGTGGTCGGTGTGAGGAGATGAAGGTGCACTGACACTGAACCTGGGCACGGTGTCCTACAAACTCTGCTTGCTTTGGCAGGATGATGTCTCCTCCTTCCCAGAGGAACCACCCAACTTCAAGCCTCCTCCTCCTCCATCAGCCCCCCAGAGCCTGGACCCCTCCTCTTCCCAGCACCGGCTCCCGGGGAAGGACAAGCCCAAGCGCCCCTCCTCCGAGTCCTCCCAGTCTGGCCTTTTCTTCGTGGCCCCCCGAAACCCCTCTCCCCCTCCCAGCACCCCCGAGAAGGACACGGTCAGCGTCACCTCCACGGCCTCCACGTCCACCGAGGACTCTGCCCCCAGCGCCATCTACGCCACCATCTCCCCGTCCCCGCACGGCTCCCGCAGGCCGGCGGACGCCC